TTCAAAACCTGTCCGGTACTTTTACACTACCTTATGGTAAATAATGCATGTGACTTCAGTGACTAATGTCTCTGAACGGGGGATAAAACAAAACCAGATTCACAGGGAATACATTACATAGTATGGAGAAGCAATACTCCAAGCCATATCTTCATTTTACTTGTCAAACATAAATAACTGATTCTGTATACTGGCTGTTGGGGTGGGATTGGCGTGGGGGGTCCATGGGTGGCTTTAGACAATTGTTGGGGATTTCTCATGTCTTACTCATTGGTAGGAAGAAGTTTGGTCCAAATTGGATGTTGGGGAGTATATTGAATATTACCTGAATCATATCAATTAAAATGGCCAATTTGGGTGCAATCAATTAGTTTAATTTCTCAGATTAAATAATATTTCAATAAAATAATATTTCAGGGATGCTAATCGTATCTGTTACTTAACTACCTCTTGACTTTCTATTGATTCCCTTTTTGGCCTCTGACTTACCTTGGGGTTGGTTTGGTTTGTTTCTAGGGTTGTTGTTCAGATTGTTTGTTGGTCAACAAAGTACAGGAAGAACATCCAGACATCTGTTCCTTATCTGTTGTTGTCTTGTCTCCTCTACCCTCACTGTAGATACTGTAGGGTTTTCCACTGCTGGTCGGCTGGTATTACATCATCGAATTAAATCCAGGTGGTGAGAAAAGCAGCATGTTTCTCTGGTGAGAAGTTCACCCACACATACCAGAGTTACAGGAAACATACTCAGTAGGTGATTCAAAAATCCATCATAGCTACCCTTCAGAGGAAACGGGGAAAACTCATCACATTGTCTGGCATAACTTTATTGTTTATGCTCCAAGTACAAGTACACATTCTTCTCCCCAAATCATCTTGTGGTCCATGTGTTCATTTCCTCTGTTATGGGGAGTGTTAGCTGATCCTAGATCTGTGCTCTGTGTGCTAGAAGCCATCTTGTTTACGGTAACTGTGTTGGATGGATGTGAATGCTGTTCCCTGTCACAGATTGCATTAACCACTTCCATATGCAAATCGTTAGATGCCGCCACAATTCACCAGGCCAATTTAAGCAAGCTTTGTGAAATATTGCGCTTGGCAGGCAGGCGCCTCTGGCTGATGGGAAAGTCAATACATGGATAAAGTTAGCAATAATGCACTAATAAAAACAAGAACTGTTTTAGCTTCCAAGCCTTTAAAGTAGCAGTATGTGCGTCAGTGTAGATGGAATTTGCGTGTTTCACTGTTGAGGTGATAACTAAACATTGGCCTAGTGTTAGCGATGCCTACAAAGTCGCCAAGTGGCTTGATTTCAAAGGTTGCTTAGAAAATAAACCACTGTTAGCTTAATGCATACACCCTTTTTGGTAGCACTTTTAGTCAAAGCACTTTGGGCTAATTCCTCTGCATATTTGTGTAACGTGTGGTCCCAAGTGATGTTATTAATTGGAAGCAGGTTGTTGGGGCTGAACAGTAACAGCCAGTCTTGTGTTGTACCTGCCAGAAGGCTGCCTCTCCTTAGTGGGCTTGTATTGTAGTCTTGAACACTGCATAGTCAGCATTCAGTAGCCACACAACATATTTCTTATAGGCCAACGAGTTGACGCCTGATAAGGAGGATTGAGGAACTGCGCTCACTGCACCAACATCGTTTGCACTCTGAAACCTCTGTAAACACACAGTTCAGATGGTAGATACATCTATGGATTTTGTTGTCTTGAAGAGTGGTGGTCACAGGCACTGAATGGTCCACTTCAGAAACGAAACGATCCACATAAGTTGCCCGAAACTAGGATCACACACATGCGCGCGCACACACTCTCTGTCCTCCTCTTCTCGGGTTCATGTTCAGTGTGACCACTTCTGAGGTGAGAGGTCATATTTTTGCACGCCACACCAGTCTTCCCATGCACCAGTGGGATGATTTATTTTTCCCTACCCTGATTTAAAGGCTGGGGCACTGCAGATTACACTCCTAACTAATGATTAATGACCACCTTTGTCTCGCCTCTTTCCCCCTCTATATCCCTCATTATTATTTCTCCCTCCTCCTACCCTTTTCCATGCTTACTTCTTTTCATGTAGACCTGTCTCTCTATCCCCCTCTCTGCCTCTCCACAGACTCACCTGTCCAGTCAGGGTCAAGAGCCTCAGGCCCTACACTCCCCTCTCCAACCGCTTTCATCTTTCTGTGCCCTCTACCCTCTTGCTCTTGGCTACCTGCTCTCCTATCTCTTCATCTTTTCTCATCCCTTTTCCTTTCTCCACTATTCTACATTTGGTAATTACCCCTTCTCTCTCTTTCTCCTTTTCCTATCTTACCTTCCCCATCGTTCCCCTCTCTCTTTTTTATTTTCTTATCTCTGTCTGCTTCCCTTCCTCTCCCTCCCTCGCTCTTCTCCCACACCCCCTTCCCCCATAAGGAGCATTGAGACAGATGTATGTGATCCATGCGGTTAAGCTACATGTTCTGTCATGTGAAACAGCTTATCGCCAGCCATTAAGGCTTCATCTACGGATGTTATCAGAGTACACACGTTTTCAAAGGATTCCATAAGCCCCTCAGAAAAACAACGGGCTTCTTATTTTTTTCATGTAGAAAACATTGTTTCACTGAGCCATTTCCTGTCTCTCCTCCCTAATTTCGTCATTTTCCATACCATGCCTCTGAGGTATTTTCTGGATCCATTACTTTTATTTTAGGATAAAGAAAACATCCTCTTTGCCAGCACCCCTCCCCTGACACACACACACACACACACAGGGCCGTGCCTGCTCTTGGTTAAGGTCTCCCAGGCAGAGTCTTTCCCATAAAAGGCGTTGTATTCCTCCTCCTCACCAGGCCAGGCTAGACCAGACCAGAGGCCAGGGCCAGACACACGTCTCTGGGCAGGAAGTTGGCATGCCTGGTACTAGGAGGAAACCATGCATGCCATAGACTATGTACTCACGCTCATCAGCCGGGTGTCTTAAGACACTGCTTATGGGAAAGCTTTGAAGCCTGTGGCTCAAATGAGTGTTTAAGTACATTTACATGACATTTTAGTCATTTAGTGAGTGCATACATGTATTTTTTTATTTTTTGTACTGGTCCCCCGTGGGAAACGAACCCACAACCCTGGCGTTGCAAATGCCTATTCTAGCCCACAGTAATGGGTTCTTCAAGTGTGCCTGTATGTGTGTGTTTTTGTGTGTGTTTTTGTCAAGGTCGTTGCATGCGTGACTATTTGAAGTCTCAGGATGATTTCCCGAGGAAAAACGGACAAGACTGCCGAGCCAGTGTGTGGTCCTAATTACTGTTTTTAATTCAATAACCAAACACACATCCTCAGATCTGATTGAAGTTCCTTTTAGCGGCCTGGCAGTTCTGGGTTCAATAGCATTATTCATATCAATTTAAATGATAGGTGAGCTCTTTTCTAGAGTAGACGTGGTGTTATTGATCTATAACAGGAAGTGGGGTAACGTTGTAATGCAGGGTGATGTTGAGGTCAGAACTGGAACCGTTGGATGGCTGACTGACAGACTGGATCTCACAGCTGTTGGCTCTGTCAGTGTTCCGGGAGACTCTGTCAGACCCTTAGTCTCCATCTATCCCCCTTTGTCTATCACTCTCTCCTTCTCTCTGGAAGTCTTACAGCTGGCTGTAGCTCCTCTCCCTCTCATTGCACGAGCAGCTGGACACGGCAGCTGCGTCACCATCCTGATTCCGCAGTAACGCTGACCAGCCCTGTCTGCTGATGTGTGTGTGTGTCTTTCACCTTTCAGATCTACAGCCCTCTAGTCCTCATGACACTAAGTCAGACAGTAGAGGGTGGTCTTAAAAGTCCTCAAACATGAACAGTTGGCAGTGAATGTTGTAAACATTCTGTACAGTACTTTCCTCTGTCTTTAAATGCATGTCTGTGTGTGAAAGGGAAAACCTAGAGGTACGCCTCGGGGGCAAAAAGTTCCGGGTTTTTGAGCGATGTTCCTTGGTCCAAGAAGCCTCGGGCTCCAGAGTCCTGTCATGTTTTGTAAATGTGTTTAGTAGTTCCCATGGATATGTGAGGGTAATGTCAACTCTTTTTTTTGGGGTTCTTCTCTCCTCAGTCTTTCTTTCTCTTTCTGAAAGTACTTGATTAGGCCTAGTTCTCAGTCTTGGCTGTGGACAGCCTCTGTTTCCTCCCTCTTTGGAAAACAAACTAGCAGTTGTCAGAGTGTTGGCTTCCCTCTGCATGGCTCCTGCTGAAAAGACCGAGTGTTTAGGGCCTTGCTGTTCTTACTCTCTTCCTCCTGATTCTGGACTGTCGTCCAGGAATTAGGATCTGGGAGTGGGAAGGAAAGGCTAGAGCCAAGAACACATGGAGGGGGGGGAACATTGTGTTTAGACAGAGGGTGTGGAGAGAGATGGAGGAGGGGGTGGATAGCGTAAATGAGGGTCAACAGAGGCGCAATAAATTCAGGGAGTAAAGTAGGACTCCCCTGTCCTCAAACAAACCCAAACACTGTAATAAGAGAGAACGGGAGGGGATGAAGATGTAGAGGGAGGGAGATAATAAAAAGAATGGAGCGAGGAATTGAGCCATCAGAATGCTAATCGTGTTCTTAAGTGGGACACTGAAACTCAATAGAGGTTAAGCTCAGTGAAATCCCCAAGATGTTAAAACCCTGACCGCCAGAAAGTAGTGCCGTAATCGTCGTTGCGTTAATTGAGCCAGGCCTGCAGTGTCCCACAGCCCTGCTTTTGTCTGAAATAGGCTAGTCTCACTCAGCCTATTAACTCATTCAACCTTTAACCCCTAGATAGGCTATATCAGTTTACTAGCTGTTTGGGTGAGGGGAGGCGGAGAGTTACGGCCCTGGAAGTGTAGTGGGAGTGTGATATGACAGTCTCATGCTAAAAGTAGCGCTGGAAGTACAAGGTGCTGCGGGCGGCTAGCTGTGTGGTAACTGGCCCTTACGGCAGGCCAGGGATCATGCCCTGGGTCAGGTACAAGAACAGAATTCTCTCTGTACAGATGCTGGGTGCATGGTCCTTTAGCGGGCTCAAAGCCCCACAGCGGGAGAGAGACGGCGACCCTGGCACTGACCTGTGTGCGAGTGTGAAACACATGGTTGTCTGCCAAAGTGGCTATTTACATAACACTCTCAGGCCAGGGTGATAAGGCTCTTTCCGTTAGTGCATTTAATGCATATGAAACGACCCTCTGCAATGTAATGGCTACTAGCTAGCTACGGTACCTGCCTTTTTAATTTTTGTCAAACTGAGTAGTTCTTAAAATGTCCTCTCTGTCTTCTGTGACAGTCCCTGTGCATCGCTCTAATCTGTCCCCCTTCTCTTCCTGTCCCCTACAGGAAGTCTAAGACGAAGCCCAATGGGAAGAAGCCGCCAGCGGAAGAGAAGAAGCAGTATCTGGAGGCGGAGTTCACGAAAGTACGCGTGGTCGACTTCGACCTCAAAGAGCTGGTGGTGCTGCCCAGGGAGATAGACCTCAACGAATGGCTCGCAAGCAACAGTGAGTTAGCAGCAGCTAATAACACTGATAAAACATATTTGGGTCGTGTTGAGCTTCCACTCGTCTTTCCGGACACAAGATGCTTTCAGAAAAGTTAAACACTTGACAGATTACTTGAATATTTCCTCAGTATTCAGGCATCTGGATTTCTGCCTTACCAGAGTGTGTCTTCAATAACAGCACTGCACTGTAGCTAAATCCTCAAGACATTTATCTCCAGGTGCAGCTCCTTATGTTATGGGCAATTCCACAGTAACAGAGTGACAGACTTCAGATTTTGTACTTTTTCAAATGTATATCAAAAACCAATGATTGCAAAGTTAAACAAACCATACAACTATATGCACAAGGACTACTTTCAGCAATTTCCACTGAAACTTTTACAAATACAAAATGTTCAGTGGAAATTGTTCAAAGTAGTCCTTCTACAGAGAGTTGTATGGTTTGTTTAACTTTGCAATCATTGGTTTTTGTTTGACATACTTTTAAAATGTAAATGTCTTTCTGTTACCTTGGAATTGCCCATATACAATAGCTCGATAGGAACAACATTATCTCAGGGGTTCCAGTCATCTCCGGCATCTCCATCTTAGACATCTCCTCTGGAAGTGTCTGAACCCCTGTAATGCCCTGCAGGCTGAGACAGCAGAATATTCCATCCAGACTATTGACAATCCACTGCCTGTTCTATACAGTGCCTTTTTATCTAGTGCCTTCTCCTCAAACAGTTAACTATCATCTTAAACATATTATACAATAAAATATATTGTTGATACTTTAGTCATCTTTGGCATCTTCTCTAGTGGCTTGTGAAGCCCTGTAAAACCCTGCGTCCTCAGTGCGGATTGTTTTATCAGCCTTCGTGTGAGGGGGACTACACAGGGTTTATTTAGTTTGTCTCTCAGGGCTTGTTTTGGAGACTGCGCAACCTGCCAGGTGCTCTCCAGAGGGAGATGGAAAGAGCCTTCCTTTTTTTAGCTTTATGTAAAACAAATGGAACGTGTTTTCGCCTGCGAAGGCAGTTTCCGCTGTGAAATCAGGGAGTTGCGCAACAAGGCCAAGCCCTGTCCGTATCGATTCGTATCAACCACTAATCAGGTTTGTTTTTGAACACAACAACGCTCGTCTTATCAATGTTTTGGTTATGTTAACTGTCTGTTAACAGCATTGAATGATACGTAAGGTTGGCCACAAACAAACATAGCAAAGAAGAAGCATGAGAAACATACAAAGAAGTTGCCTTGCGGCAAAAATGATGGTTATGAATGGAGTCAACAGTACCTCCAACCTCCTCCCCCTCTCTCTGCTTTATACCTGGGGTTGAACATGTACACTACTGTTCAAAACGTTGTCTGTGCAGATTAACATAGCTGGTGCTCCGAAGGGACAGATGTTGTCCCATTCACTGTAAGCATCACACTGCAAAATTACTGTTCAAGAACAGTAATTACTTGGATCAAACAGCTTACATATCAAATACTTGGAAGCAGCAGCCTAACTATTTGAAAGTAGATGTATGTATGTAGGCTATTTGACCAAGGCTAGGTCTAGAGCAGACTCATTACTGAGTGTAATAATGAGTGTATTACTCTTCTTTCCCTTCAGCAACGACCTTCTTCAATCTTATAAACCTGCAGTACAGCACCATCTCCGAGTTCTGCACTGGGGACACCTGTCAAGCCATGACAGCCTGCAACACGTAAGCCATCTCCCCCACCATTGGTTTATTCATCAGTGCTCGGCCTCCCATTGGGTTATTTATCAGATGTCTTGCATCCCGTTGGATAATTTACGAAGGGTGCTTTGACACGGCAAAAGACAGACCATCTCTTGATAGCAGGAGAGCTTCTGACCGCAGGGCTGTACTCACTGTTACCCCTGACTTTCTGTTTTGTGTTCCTTCTCTCTCCCTGTCTGTTCTGTAAAGTGGAGGGCTGTAGAGCTATCTAATGCTAGTGAGAGAATGTCGGAATGTAGGTTATGCTGTGAGCCTTCTCCAAATCGCATGAGCCTTTCTGAGGTGCCTTGTGTTCCTAGCTGGACTGGTGCATAGTGAGGTCTCTGTACTTAGAACACAGAGTTCCTAGATAGAGGTCCAAGATCTAATGGTTCTGAGAAGCTGATGGAGATCTGGCCATATTGTTTGTGTTCCATTGCCAAGTAAACTGGAGGGGGCTATCCAGCTAATAGTTCTGGTCACTCTCAGAAAATCCTGTTGAATATGTAGGACTTTCCATGTGCGCCATGACATGAGTCATCACTATACCATGCATCCGTCCCCTGATGGTTTTAGCTCAGAAGTTACCAAACAGTCTTAAAATGACACCTTCAGCCGTAGTTGTTCATAAAGGAATGCCTTTACTCTGTACAAAGAGCTATCTACAGTTACTGTTTGTCTACCCCCATACAAAGGCAGAGCATACACTTACAGTAGTCAGAGTCAAAGACCGTCATAACATGGAGGCCTATTCATCCCTGTCTAGCAGAGGGGAGGAGATTGACTGTAAGTATTTACCCAACGAGTTGACCCTGTCAGGGCGGGGTGCCGTTTTCATGTGTGAGCCCTTGTCTTTGGAAAGAGGCCCTCCTCGCCTGTGTATACTTAGGGCTGGAAAAACCAGGTCCCCCACATTTAGGCTAAACCACACTGTGTGTGTGTGTGTGTGTGTGTGTGTGTGTGTGTGTGTGTGTGTGTGTGAAAAATGACAGTGACAGAGCGAAAGCAAACAATAGAGAAGCCGTTGAGGAATGACAGGCCTGTGACAGAATTGTTGTCAGGTGGCCTTGTCGAGAACCATGCTTCCCTAAAACGGGAAGCCTGGGGAAGTTCATGGCAGAAAAATAGCTAAATATTGGTGGAGACCCGGTGTAAATCGGTGAGGCCTTGCAACACGTCAAACCAATCAAATGCCTTGCTTGGGCAGAACTCCAATAGTGCTCACTGGATTAGTGTTGTAGGTACAACAGTGCATTCGGAAAGTATTCAGACCGCTTCACTTTTTCCACGTTACGTTATAGCCTTATTCTAAAATTGATTAAATTGTTTTTTCCCCTCATCAATCTACAAACAATACCCCATAGTGACAAAGCAAAAACAGCTTTTTAGAAATATCCAATTTACATTAGTATTCAGACCCTTTACTCAGTACTTTGTTGAAGCACCTTTGGCAGCGATTACAGCCTCGAGTCTTCTTGGGTATGACGCTACAAGCTTGGCACACCAGTATTTGGGGAGTTGCTCCCATTCTTCTCTGCAGATCCTCTCAAGCTCTTTCAGGTTGGATGGGGAGTGTCGCTGCACAGATGTTCGATTGTGTTTAAGTCCGGGTTCTGGCTGGGTTCTTGTCCCGAAGCCACTCCTGCGTTGTCTTGGCTGTGTGCTTAGCGTCGTTGTCCTGTTGGAAGGTGAACCTTCGCCCCAGTCTGAGATCCTGAGCGCTCTGGAGAAGGTTTTCATCAAGGATCTCTCTGTACTTTGCTCCGTTCATCTTTCTCTCGATCCTGACTAGTCTCCCAGTCCCTGCTGCTGAAAAACATCCCCACAGCATGATGCTGTTCTCCCATCTCCACAGAGGAATTATGTAGCTCTGTTAGCATGACCATCGGCTTCTTGGTCACCTCCCTGACCAAGGCCCTTCTCCCCTGATTGCTCATTTTGGCCGGGCGGCCAGCTCTAGGAAGAGTCTTGGTGGTTCCAAACTTCTTCCATTTAAGAATGATGGAGGCCACTGTGTTCTTGGGGACCTTCAATGCTGCAGACATTTTTTGGTACCCTTGCCCAGATCTGTGCCTCGACACAATCCTGTCTCGGAGCTCTACGGACAATTCCTTCGACCTCATGGCTTGGTTTTTGCTCTGACATGTATTGTCAACTGTGGGACCTTTACAGTGAAGAAAAAAAGTATTTGATCCCCTGCTGATTTTGTACGTTCGCCCACTGACAAATAAATTATCAGTCTATAATTGTAATGGTAGGTTTATTTGAACAGTGAGAGACAGAATAACAACAAACAAATCCAGAAAAACTCATGTCAAAAATGTTATAAATTGATTTGCATTTTAATGAGGGAAATAAGTATTTGACCCCCTCTCAATCAGAAAGATTTCTGTCTCCCAGGTGTATTTTATACAGGTATCGAGCTGAGATCAGTAGCACACTCTTAAAGGGAGTGCTCCTAATCTCAGCTTGTTACCTGTATAAAAGACACCTGTCCACAGAAGCAATGAATCAATCAGATTCCAAACTCTCCACCATGGCCAAAACCAAAGAGCTCTCCAAGGATGTCAGGCACAAGATTGTAGACCTACACAAGGCTGGAATGGGCTACAAGACCATCACCAAGCAGCTTGGTGAGAAGGTGACAACAGTTGGTGCAATTATTCGCAAATGGAAGAAACACAAAAGAACTGTCAATCTCCCTCTGCCTGGGGCTCCATGCAAGATCTCACCTCGTGGAGTTGCAATGATCATGAGAACGGTGAGGAATCATCCCAGAACTACACGGAAGGATCTTGTCAATGATCTCAAGGCAGCTGGGACCATAGTCACCAAGAAAACAATTGGTAACACACTACGCCGTGAAGGACTGAAATCCTGCAGCGCCCGCAAGGTCCCCCTGCTCAAGAAAGCACATATACAGGCCCATCTGAAGTTTGCCAATGAACATCTGAATGATTCAGAGGAGAACTGGGTGAAAGTGTTGTGGTCAGATGAGACCAAAATGGAGCTCTTTGGCATCAACTCAACTCGCCGTGTTTGGAGGAGGAGGAATGCTGCCTATGACCCCAAGAACACCATCCTCACGTCAAACATGGAGGTGGAAACATTATGATTTGGGGGTGTTTTTCTGCTAAGGGGATAGGACAACTTCACCGCATCAAAGGGACGATGGACGGGGCCATGTACCGTCAAATATTGGGTGAGAACCTCCTTCCCTCAGCCAGGGCATTGAAAATCGGTCGTGGATGGGTATTCCAGCATGACAATGACCCAAAACACACGGCCAAGGCAACAAAGGAGTGGCTCAAGAAGAAGCACATTAAGGTCCTGGAGTGGCCTAGCCAGTCTCCAGACCTTAATCCCATAGAAAATCTGTGGAGGGAGCTGAAGGTTCGAGTTGCCGAATGTCAGCCTCGAAACCTTAATAACTTGGAGAAGATCTGCAAAGAGGAGGGGGACAAAATCCCTCCTGAGATGTGTGCAAACCTGGTGGCCAACTACAAGAAACGTCTGACCTCTGTGATTGCCAAAAAGGGTTTTGCCACCAAGTACTATGTCATGTTTTGCAGAGGGGTCAAATACTTATTTCCCTCATTAAAATGCAAATCAATTTATAACATTTTTGACATGCTTTTTTCTGTTTTTTGTTGTTGTTATTCTGTCTCTCACTGTTAAAATAAACCTACCATTAAAATTATAGACTGATCATTTCTTTGTCAGTGGGCAAACGTACAAAATCAGCAGGGGATCAAATACTTTTTTCTCTCACTGTATATAGACAGGGGTGTGCCTTTCCAAATCATGTCCAATCAATTGAATTTACCACATGTGGACTCCCAAGTTTTAGAAACATCAAGGTTAATCAATGGAAATGGGATGCTAAATTTCGAGTCTTATAGTAAAGGGTCTGAATACTTACGTAAATAAGGTAATTCTGTTTCTTATTTTTAATACATTTGCAAAAATTTAGAACAAGCTGTTTTTGCATGATGGGGTATTGTGTGTAGATTGATGAGGAAAAAATCATTGAATCCATTTTAGGCTGTAACGTAACAAAATGTGGAAAAAGTCAAGGGCCTGAATTCTTTCCGAATGCACTGTATATGAAAAAAAAAAAAACGTTTTAAAATGTCGACCAATTGTTGGTCGAAAGAACAGACGACTCTTGGTCGACACATTTTTTTGGGGTCGGGCACAGACCTAAATATTGTAATGAAATGCAATTCCAATACGCAAACCCCATGAACCCGGATGCTCCCAGTGTTTCTAAGGAGGATTGTAGTCGTAGGCTGTAACAGCTGTGGAGACGTGCAGTCCGTTAGTCAGTCAGCCGGTCAGTCTAATGGTGTGCCACAGTTACAGCACCCCGCCCTTTTCCTGCCTCTCTGGCTGGCACGCACCCACCCCACAACAAAGTCCCAGTCAATTCCTCCTACCCCAGGCACTGCAAAACGCGCTATTTTAGGAGAAAACTTTCCATGATCTATGGGAACAGGCCCATTTGGTAGTCATTTATGCCCATTTTATGTGGGTGGGTGAATGGACGGGTGGGTGTGTTTTTTTTGTTTTTTTTGTGGGCTAATGACGTCTGTCTTTTTTGGCATGTTTGCCAGTCTTTGTAAGGTTGTCTGTGTGTGTGTGTGTGTGTGTGTGTTATCCTGTTGTACTCTCCTCAGTGTGGAGTCCCTGGCCTGGTGCTTGTCTTGTGGTCAGTAGGGTCCTCCTGCAGGGTCAGTTATCTGGACGCTCTACATTCCTCAGGATTTGTAATGTCTGCCCTACTGCCTGCCAGACCGAGACCACGCCATGCTGCTATTGCTAACTCAACTATCCCAGTTTGCAAAATTGGTTGAACTTTTCAACCAAAAATATGTATTTTCAACGTCTTGTGCTCATGGGGATTCTGCTACGCCGGCTAAGGCACGCTTGGCGTACTCCGCTAGTTCACTTACCTATACTGCTACAATTTCTAGCTTGTTTCAGTCAGACCTTTGTTCAAAAGCAATTAGCCTTGTTTGTAGCTTGACCTTGGTAAATCCCACAGACCATGCCATCTCTGCTCTACGGCTCATTTGGAGCCTGTGCTAGATTGGTAACCCCTCTAGTTTTGTCAGCCTGTCAGCTACCATACACTGCTAGCCTCGTTAGCTAATGGCTATACCACTGTTAGCTCTGTTTCCCTGTTGCTTTAGCCGTGCTAGCTTTGACCTTGCTCACTCCTAGATGTGAGTTCTCTTATTTGGTTATGTGGTGCCTGGCCATACTGATGTGCAGTTTATGACCCCTTTAGCTCTCATACCCAGCTAGCTTCACTCTCACGCTACTAGCGCCAGTACAGTATTCCCTGGTAGCCTGTGTCATGCTAGCCATGCTATCTTAGTTTGGTGACTTCACTGACTTGCAATTTGACCTTGCTAACTCATGACTACCGTGGCTAGCCCTGAGGGGTTGCCTTCAGTTACAGCCATTGTCTAACTGGGTCACCCCTCTCCGGAAATGTTTGACCAGTCAGTGCGAGCACCGCGCAACCAGGGGATCAGTATCGTGTCACTCCGAGACTGCAGGGAATTCGGCCCAAACAGGAAATGAAACGGGCATGGGGTTCATTTAAGTCCACTGGAATGAAAATATGCAAACATGTCTATGTTAGAAGGTGGTGGGGTTGGCTGGTCCTGCACTGGGCTGGAGGCCTGTCTGACAGGTTCACACGCATACACACATACACAGTTCAATCATTCATCACGTTGGGTTAAAGGTCCCGACGGTCACACCCGATCCCCTTAATAGTCCCATCTCCTGAATCCAAGTGTTTGACATGGGGGAGGGGACCAGTAACTTTATGATCAAACTTTATCAACGTAGAAGCAACATTCATTTGTCATACTTTGGTCATCTATGCTTTGATCTGGTTTCATCCAAATATCATCCGATGTCATGTAATACATGATTTTGACTGTTCATGACCTTTCAAAGGAATTTTGGTCTTGTTTCTAGATGAGGAAATGCTGTGAATGTGGGGGCTGTCACATAGGGTTTGTGTGTTTCACCTTTCAACATAATGATGTGAATGATTCAGCCATTTTCAGTTTCTGGAAAAGCACACCATGCAGTGTAAGGAAGCTGCCTCGCTCTTTCAGGTTGTTCCTTTTCAAGATCAGATGACTTAATAACATACTAGGCAAAGTAATAATAGACTAGATCTTGTTCATTTTTATTTCCTGGGGCCACCCATATGAAAAATGTATGCATGCATGACTGTAAGTCGCTTCGGATAAAAGCGTCTGCTAAATGGCATTTATTATTATTATTATTATTATTATTATATTATGTATGTAAATGGTGGAATGGCGTAGAAAAATAACCCGCTGTCTTTCTGTTTGTGTCCAGAATATACTACTGGTATGACGAGAGGGGAAAGAAGACTAAGTGCACTGCCCCTCAGTACGTCGACTTCGTCATGAGTCTGGTGCAGAAGCTGGTCACAGACGAGGACATCTTTCCTACGAAATATGGTGAGTTAAGCTCTGGTCCACATCTGCAGCGCCTCGCTGTGGTCAGTCTGCAGCACTGCAGCCTCTCTGGTTCTGACATCAAACTGAAGCTGGGGCTTTGTGAACCGTGCCACTGCTGCCCTCTACTGTCTCAAGTAGTAAAGTGTTTAATGTTTTTTGGCACTTCATAGCTGTCTTAGCATTGTGATAGTAGCTTCTTTATATCAGAATGGCGATGCTAGCACCAATTAAAACATACCAAATGATTTCTAAATTGCTCTTTCCCCCTCTTCTCTCCTCTCTCTCTCCTTCCCCCTCTTCTCTCCTCTCTCTCCTTCCCCCTCTTCTCTCCTCTCTCTCCTTCCCCCTCTTCTCTCCTCTCTCTCTCCGTGCAGGCAAAGAGTTCCCCAACGCGTTTGAGGCGTTGATAAAGAAGATCTGCAGGTATCTGTTCCACGTCCTGGCTCACCTCTTCTGGGCGCACTTTAAGGAGACAGTGGCCCTGGATCTACAGGGCCACTTGAACACACTGTATGCACATTTCATTGTTTTCGTAAGGGAATTCAACCTGGTCGACCCCAAGGAGACCTGTATCATGGACGACCTGTCCGAAATCCTCTGCGCCCCCGCGCCCCCAGCGCCCGCCGCCCCTTCCTCCCCCACCTCGGCCCCCTCCCCTTCTTCACACAACCATGTGACGGAGAGATGAGCAGGGGTTTCCGCGACAAGCAGCCCCGGGAGGAAGATGGTAGAGGAGAGATGGAAACAGAACGCCTGGTCCCCTTCCTAGACCTCTGGCTTCAGCAGCAGGACCTGGAGACCTTCCACTATCCTTATATTTCGCTATGACGCCAGCCAGCCGGAAGGATCCAGGGGGGAGGGTTTTTTGGGGTTGGGGGGGGGGGGGGAAGTGTTGTCACTCCAACAGGAATTGGTGTCAGCATGTTCCTCCCAGGGGCAAATCCCTCCCATCTGCTCTGCAATTTAAACTAGGAACAAACTATGTGTAATGTTTTATTTTACTTTTATTGTATTATTTTCTGTTGGAAAAGTTCTATTCAGTTTTATTTTTTGTTTTATTTTTCTAATTTGGGACAGTGTGTCTTTTTGCCCTTTCCTCCCTCTGTCCTCTGCCTAAAGTATAGTTCAGGATGGTGGCTCTGCTTTGCTTGAACATACTATTGTAGTGTTGTCATTGTGTGGAGAAAAGGCGACTGTTATCGGATTGGCTCTTTGCTCCCCCCTAGTGGTGGGAGGATTGAAGGGGGAAGGTCACTACGCTGGCCTATAGGGAGCCATGTTACTGCCTGGTGGGCGATACTAGCCAATCACTGTTTGGGTTGTTAATCTGGGGATGATTCAAGTGCTTCCTACTCAGGACCAGAGAACACAAGTCACTGCTGCCAGAGAGAAGTACTCTCTATTATTCTCTCCCTCCCTCTCTCTTTCTAGCTCATTCTCTCTGTCCACAAAACGACTCTCAGTCCCTTAAATATTACAGTTGTCATTCTCGTATTACTCTAGTCAGGTATCACCTGATGTACCCCTCTTTAACAGCTCCATCCCAGAGGCCACCCATAGAGGGCAGTATAGACATAGGGTGGCACTGCCACACAAACAGGGAGATGGAGAAGAAGATATAAAGATTGTATTTTAGATATATTAGAATCTGACCAGACATGCTACTACAAGACAGACTGGTTCCCATTATCTGGGTACAGGGGAGGGTGGTGGAGACCTTTTCCCCAGGGAAAAGAGCTGTTTGCTGGGGTGCGATACAGCGGCAGCCCCCCTGCCCCCTCCAGCAGCACAGGAGAAGGACAAAGACATTGGTTATGTCTGCACGCCCAGAAAGAAGGGAGGAAAGGAGGAGAGAAAGGATAAGTGTGGGGGTGGTCTGTTTGCTGTTCTGGATTGCAGAACAAGCCCCCACTGTCTCTTGACGATACCCCCCCCCCCCCAGCCCAGCCCCTTAACGTTTGGTTTTTATTTTCCCTTTAAAATGTACTTTTTTAAATTATCAAAGACGAAACTAGTTCATGAAAAATAATGGCATCCTTACACATGTATAGAAAAATGCACAGTCTGCTTCAACTTGACTGTACAGAGTGGTGAGCGGAATCCGTCAGACAGCCTCTATCAAGGAGGAGGATTAGGGTTTATAGTTCTACTTCTATTTATAATTTAAAAAATGTGCAGGGTTCTTCAGTTCTGGCTTTCATTTTTATGTATTTTAATTATTAACTAAGTTAAAAGCAATTTAATATTTTAAACTCTGCGGATTATAATCGAATAAAATACATAAATGCCGCTCTGTCTCATGTTGTCTTCTGTCAACATGATGATGATGATGATGAGGATTAAGTAGATGTGTGGCATGCATAGTAACTTGACGAGGAAAACGGGTCACTTTCAAGGAAGTTCTCTTCTGCATATCATCCATGCGCACACATACTGTACAGTACATGTCAAGTGCTTTTCAACAGCTATTCCTTTTTTATTTCCAAGTCAAGCTTTGCATACAACTATCAAAGACCATAGTCATTTTTACCATACAAGAGCATCATTATGTAGATCAGTACTGGTCAAGTCCATGAGGGCCACAGTGACTGTTATGGTTTTCATGCAGGGTCAGATGGAAAGCCTGCAGGAGGCTAGATCTCCAGGAGGAGTGTGTTGGGCACCAGTCTACTACACACACGCTGGCCTCTGCCTTCAAACTGGATAATTGCATAACTTTGTATAATGTTATAAATCTATCAAACTGCATTCCATCATGCATATGTTTTCATTGAGCACCCTGAGTAAGAAGGTATTTGATACGTGCATATTCTGGGATTGATAGAACGGCAAGACGTTCAGGCCCCTAAAATCACCTAACGCTTCAGGTAATAGTACATTGACATTGCAGTCTATAGGGACACATGGCTATTAGGCTACAATACTTGATCCTGGTCCTGGCTTAATACCCACAGGGTGTGCGGGATTTTGTTCTAGCCCAGCACTAACACACTGGATTCATCTAATCATATAGTCCTTGGTTGAAGTAGGTGTAGTTGCTTTATCTTGGCCAGGTCGCAGTTGTAAATGAGAACTTTTTCCTCAACTGGCTTACCTGGTTAAATAAAGGTGAAATAAAAAAAAGTGTGTACTGGGCTAGAACACGCATGCACACCTTGTGGGTCCCATTGACCAGAATAAGAACATTATTGGACATAATAAACAAAGCATTTATGTAATATTACGAAAAGATACATTAAAATGTTATTGGTAATAAAAAATCATCTTTTCATATACAAAATGCATTGGCACTATCCACTGCTTTATAAAAGTAGGCTATTTAGGCTAGTGGGCTGATTGTGCTTTGACGCTTTATGCGCATTCTCGCGGACGGCCGCAGGGTGGCGTGCTCGTGCAGTTTAAACCTGGCGATGCCTCCGTCCTCATCCAGCTTCTTGGCACTGCAGCTGGGTGTCGGTACTCTAACCGTGTTACCGAATTTGGAGTAGTCTACCGCGTACGTGCCCTCTTCCTCGGATATAGTGGGCACAAAGCGCTGCCCCCACAGTATCTCCTCGGACAGGTAGGATGTCCGGGCCTGGGTGGTTATCCCCGTGGTCTCCACCACCCCCTCCAGCACCACTATCACCTCGATGTCATTATTTTGTAACTCCGCTGGGGACAGCTCATAGAGCGGGCTGTCTTTGTTGATAATGTGACATATGATAAGGGGGGCCACCAGGAAAATACCGTTGGTCCCTACGGGGTTGTCCATGTGAATGTCTATCTGGTCCAGGGGGACCACCTCGCCCTCCGGAGTGGTGCTGCGCCTTACCACTTGCATCCGCACGGTGGCGCTGATGATCATGCTCTTCCTCAGGTCCCCTAAACGAATCATGAAGCAAAGCTTGTTATTTCGGATGGAAATGACAGCATGCTTGCTGAAGATCAGCGTCTCGGCGCGCCGATTCGCCTGTGCCGTCTTCATAAAGATACACCCCAGCATGATGGCGTTAATCAACAAGCCCACGATGTTCTGAATGATAAGGACCACTATGGCAGACAAGCATTCCTCTGTGACCATACGTCCACCGAACCCAATGGTCACCTGCACCTCTATGGAGAAAAGGAAAGCAGAGGAGAAGGAGTGGATGTCCGTTACGCAAGGGACAAAGTCGTCACCTTTTTGTTCCAGGTCGCCGTGCGCAAAGGCAATGAGCCACCACACCATCGCAAACAGCAGCCAGCTGCACAGAAACGACATGGTGAAAATTATAAGTGTGTGAAGCCATTTTAGATCCACTAAAGTGGTGAAAACATCCAGTAGGAACCGTCCTTGTTCGCGAATGTTCGTGTGGGCCACATTACAGGTTCCGTTTTTGGCAACGAACCGAGCCTTCCGCGCTTTCGCCTTGAATATAGGGTGCTGGACATCCTCAGCCAAGCGGGTCAGCAAGTAGTCGTCCGGGATCAGTCCTTTTCGGGACAACATAGTGCTCCCATAGCCTACTATTCTCCGCGGGACCACTTGCCAATGATTAAGCAGATTAGCAACCTCCTCTTGATGAAATCTATAGGCTAATTTCCTCTTCTCATGTGCGTCTTCTAACCGAAGGCGACTGCCCGTGACAGTTCTCTTCCGAATGACAGCAGCTGCCGGAGGAAGAGAGTTGTGCTGTCATCTAATTTCTAAAAGTATGTGAGCTCTTCACATCGCCCCGGTCCAGATCAGGCAGGCGCACCACCATAGCCGCCCAGGTCCCATGAGAAGATTCTGCATTCAGCTGCCGCTGTCAATCACGCACTGCAACTCGATAGTAGTGTTCCATCGCAATTGACGCACCGCTCTGGCTCGCTTGTCCCGCGATTAAAGTACATATAATTCCCCCACGTGTAGGCCTACCTATAAAAAGGTAGATGAATCGCAACAGCAGTTGTGTAATCGAGTGTTTTCTGTAGTGGTGATAAAACTACCCCCATCCATTGTTTGGATGAGGCAGGCAGGTTTGCTGAAGCGCAGTGTATAGGTGCTCGTGCTTGGAAACGAGAGCTCAAGTTGGGAAGGCGTTTAGACAGAACAAACAGTTCTTTCTTTCCACAGTACTCGGTCAGTAGCCTAATATAAAACATTATGTCAATGCCCGGATTATGCTGGTAGCATTTCCCCTTCTAGGGATACATTAATTTAATTTAGTTAATTTAGTTAAACTCCCAATAGTTTATTTCTGGAACGTTGTTACATAGGGTCAATTCAGAAAGAGTGGGAAATCATATCCTCCTGAGACCCCGCCCATTGACTTATGTCCACTGTTGTGGACATTTGAGTTTCATCCCTCTTCTTGGAATATTTTGTGCAAGTCTCTTAATTCCTGCTGTACTGTACAGAGGACATCCTGGGCTTTTCAGTGATATGTCATTTGATTGGCTGGGAGGCCGGGAACCGCCTCTATCTTTCCTTTCAAAATGGACTGCAAAGGAACAAGCACATTTTATGGAAAAATGAGAGGTAAGTCAAATATTGTTTGTCTATGGTTTTGTTACTATGATAATCATATATTTTCTTGTTCATGAAGGTGTTAGGAATCATATATTTAGTTCTGATAGCAACTAAATTATGTATCTTTTGAAAGATTTGCCATTTTATGAATGTCAATTATAGTGGACATCAGGACTATCTTCATGTAAATAATGACTCCACATTGTCGTAGGAAACAGAACTGAAGCAGAAAGAATTCTTTACCGAATAGTCGAGGGAGATTCAGATTTGGAGTTGTCAGATGATGAGAGAGATGAGGATAAGTTTCAACCAGTGATACAAAACAGTGATGAAGAAGAGGAAGACAATGCAGAAGGCTCAGTTGAAGGGACAGATGCAGACACAGACACAGATACAGACAGGGATGAACAGGAAACTCGTCGCCCTCTGTGGGCCAGGAGTAACATGTATGTTTGATGCAGTTCCACAATTTTAAATTCAGCTGCATTGAGTATTTAAACTGTTATTACTTATCATTTATTATTCTTTTTTCCTTCATATCAGATTTGCACCTGTGTTACCTGGGCTTCCTGTGTGTCAAGATGACCCTACAACACGTGCAGACTGGAGTCCAATTGAATACTTTTCACAGTACATTGACAACAAGGTCTTTGAAGATTTGGCAACATACACAAATCAAAGAGAGCTGCAAATCAAAGGAGTGTGCATGAACACCACGCCACAAGAAATAAAAATCTTCTTGGGCATTTCAGTCCACATGGCCTGCCTTGGCTATCCCAGAATTAAAATGTTTTGGCCCAACAAAACTAAAGTGCCAGTCATAAGTAGCAAAATGACTAGGGATAGATTCTTCAGGATAAGAAATTCCCTCAAGATTGTCAATGACCTGGCTGTAACAGAGGAAACAAAGAAGGCAGATATTCTTTGGAAAGTCAGGCCAATACTCGATCGTGTGCGCCAAGGCTGTCTCAGCCTTGCAAAGCCAGAAAGGGTCTGCATTGATGAGCAAATCATCCCATTCACAGGCCGTTGTCCAGTCAGGCAATATGTTCCCGGCAAGCCAAACCCTACTGGCCTAAAGGTCTTTGTCCTTGCATCCCCAAATGGTCTGATGCTTGATTTTGAAGTCTACCAAGGGAAGAATACCTTTACAGTCCAAAGGTTAGGAGTTGGAGCTGCAGCAGTTCTACGCATGGTTGAATCTGTTCCAACAGGAAGCCACATATTCTTTGACAGGTACTTCACAACCATAGATCTATTGGATGCATTGCTGGCAAAGGGCCTTCCTGCAACTGGAACTATAATGAAGAACCGTGTCCCAAAGCTGTGCCAGCTGCCAGTAGACAAACAGTTGAAAAAAGAGGGGAGAGGAACATCAGTGTCAGTGGCCAGAAAGAGTCCTGAGCTGGCCATCACAAAATGGTTCGACAACAAACCAGTGCTCATGGCATCCACTGTACATGGGAAAGACCCAGAAGACATCTGTACCAGATGGTCCCAGAAAGAAAAGCACCTGGTCCAGGTTAAAAGACCAGCAGTAATTAAGCAGTATAATGATAACATGGGTGGCGTAGATCTTTGTGATCGCATGCTTAGCTTCTATCGTATGTCAAGCAGGACCAAGAAGTGGACATCGCGCGTGATCAGTCACTTCTTTGATGTTGCCATCACCAACTCCTGGATACAATACCAGTCTGACAGCAAAGCTCTGCACAGACCATCCAAGAACACACATCAGTACCTGGACTTCAAACTACTCCTAGCTGAGGAGCTGTTGGAGAGTCCGGAACTGGAAAACAGCTGTGAAGAGAGTGAGGATGAGTATGAGCCACCATCTAAAATGAGGATCCCACAACCAGAGCCATCTGTGCGCAGACTAGGAGCCATGCACATGCCTGAGATGATGGATACCAAGCATGCAGAAAGATGCAGAAATAAGGGCTGCAAGAGCAAGACGTACATGAGATGTACCAAATGCAAGATGTTCCTCTGCATTACCAAAAAGAGAAATTGCTTCCAGGACTTTCACCACTAACAAAGAAAATACTAAGAACAAAATGAAGAGTGAAGGAAAAAGCTAGATTGGATTCAGTTTGACAGAAGGAAAAAATCCAAAATAAATCTGTTACACATTAGTTATATGTTCATTGTTCAAATAACACTGAAAGGATTCAAGGGGACCAATCAAAGGATATGGACATAACAAAGTGTTAAGCTTTAATAGTAAAGCTATCCTTGCGAAATGTAAGGAAAAGGATTCAAGAATGATTAATGTGTATTGTATAATCAAAATGTCTGTATTCTTGGATAATAATCAATCTACAGCCCAAAATGTATGTATTCTTAGTTCATAAAAACTCTGTAATCTGTAAGAACTCTGTAAAAATTTGTATCTACCAAATGTGTCTCTTTTCGTACTCAAATGATCCTGTTGTCCACTACAGTGGACATGCTGTAAAATAAAAAATTAAAATTAAAATTAAAATGTGGAAATTGTAGGATGCTTTTTTTAACCCTAAACAGTTATTGAATCACAAAAAATATGATTAGGAAAAACAATATTTTCCTTGGTTCTCAGGAGGATATAAACTGGGACAGCTTAATCCTGACGCGTTTATTTATTGGTCTGACAAGAGAAAGTCAAAACTATTGTTACTAAACCTTTGCAGAGAAACCACATGATCAAAGTCACATCACTTCATTGGTGTGACATCATAGTGGGGGACAGAGCAAGCTTCAACCAGGAAGCTCACCCAGCGAAGCACACTGTAAGATCAGTGATATAGCTTTTTTCTGTTTTTATGTGATAAAACTGTCAGAAATAATGCACTGTGCCAAATTGGGATGTAACTGTGCATACTATGTACTGGTGCATCAAAATACATAAAGAAAAGTTGACAATATTTTGTTTCAATTTTGTAATTCAGTATTTTTGTTGTCCTGCTTTACCAACCATAGCTAGCTAAAAAGCATGGAGTAGCTAAAGTGGGACAGTCTTATAGGCTTTTCCAATGGAGTAAAGAGATCCAGTTTACATTAGGGACCCCTAATGTAAGGGCTCTGGTTCTTGTAGTACTACACTAAACAAAAATATAACCGGAACCTTTAACAATTTCAAAGATTTTACTGAGTTACAGTTCATATAAGAAATCATTAGGCCCTAATCTATGGATTTCACATGACTGGGAATACAGATATGCATCTGTTGTTCACAGATACACTACATGACCTAAAGTATGTGGACATCTGAGAACAGCTCAATACAAAATCATGGGTATTAATATGGAGTTGGTCCCCCCTTTGCTGCTATAACAGCCTCCACTCTTCTGGGAAGGCTTTCCACTAGATGTTAGAACATTGCTGCGGGGACTTGCTTCCATTCAGCCACGAGCATTAGTGAGGTCGGGCACTGATGTTGGGCAATTAGGCCTAGCTGACAGTCGGCGGACCAATTCATCCCAAAGGTGTTCGATGGGGTTGAGGTGAGGGCTCTGTGCTGGCCAGTCAAGTTCTTCCACACCGATCTCGACAAACCATTTCTGTGTGGATCTCACTTTGTGCACAGGGGCATTGTCATGCTATAACAGGAAAGGGCCTTCCCCAAACTGTTGCCACAAAGTTGGAAGCACAGAATCATCTAGAATATCATTGTATGCTGTAGCATTAAGATTTCCCTTCACTGGAACTAAGGGGCCTAGCCCGAACCATGAAAAAAGCCCCAGACCATTATTACAGTTGGCACTATGCATTGGGGCAGGTAACGTTCCCCTGGCATCCGCCAAATCCAGATTTGTCCATCGGACTACCAGATGGTGAAGCGTGATTCTTCACTCCAGAAAACAAGTTTCCACTGCTCTAGAGTCCAATAGTGGCAAGCTTTACACGACTCCAGCCGATGCTTAGCATTGCGCAAGGTGATCTTGGGCTTGTGTGCAGCTGCTCGGCCATGGAAAACCATTTCATGAAGCTCCTGACGAACAATTATTGTGCTGATG